CATAGTGCAGCATCCTATCCCCAGCATAAATCACACACAGCCCTCGCAGTAGCTTCAAATTGAAACCATGCTGGCACGCCGCACGATACAAGTCCATATGGTCGATGTGTTCATAGAACTTTTTAAGGTCCAGAAGCACCGTCGCCGCCGAGGTCCCTAGGACTTTCCCGAAGTGGGCCAGCATGTTATGGACCCATCCTGCTCTCTCGCAGGTCGACGTGGCCCCGACGCCCCAGAAGAAGGCCTGCTCGTGGGCCTGTTCCCAGGTACGGCAGATGTTTTGACGACACTTCGACCAAATCTTGGTGAACATGCACAATAATCCTATCGGGCGTACTCCACCATCTGGCTTATCAAGGAAGATGATATTCGTCAAAAACTCTGCAATCACACAAGGTCGATCTTCGAACGAGTGAAGGATATCAATAACACGCAACTGATATTCCTCTGGAAGAAACAAGATCTGGCGGGGATGGAAGGAGTCCCACCCAAGACCAGCCCCTTCCCCATACGAGTTACACACACGCCTCAACTGCTCCAATGATATGGGTGGCAATTCATGTCCCAACACATCCCAATGAGCTGGGTGATTTTCGCTGAGCCTGCCTTCTTTGTGCCAAAGGGGAAGCCATTGATCGAGAAGCTGGAGGAGCGCAAGCTCACTGTTGACTGGCAAGCGGCCATGGTCGTCTACGACACTGAACGGGACCGTCCTGTCTGCGCGAGAGACCCTGGAATAAGCATGAGCTGCCTTCCCTCCCCGCTGCATTGACGACTTTGCCCACTCCTTCCACTCCGACAGGGATTCCTTGGCGTCCGACTTGCGCAGGCCTTCTACATACTCTCGTAACTGCCCGAACAGCCCTTCTAACTCCTCTCTGAGCCCCATGGATATCCCTTCCACCAGGCTGATTCAAAAGCGGGCATTCGTGCCTTCGTCTGGCGCCTCCAGCGCCGAGATCATCCCGAATAGGGCGGCACGCCATTCGTGAAAAAGACCGCGTGCTCTGGCTCCTAGCATATCTTGGCCAACTGCAGCTGCACGACGAGCCAACGCCTCGAAGGACATCCAACTGGTGGTCCGCTTTGAATATCTCCTCCTAGACTCTCGGTCCCAAACCGTCTCGAGGGGAATCTTTGTGACCTTAGGGCCCCCAGCTCTTCCGCACATCCTGGCAGCGCTAGCACTGTCTAGGTCGTGGAACTGCATGAGCCAGCCCTCAGCCTGGGTAAACCATTCCCTGACCATGGACCCCAAACAGTGCGAGCCACCTCCGACTTCCCAAGACCACGTGCTTTCAGTAGGGAGCCTCCGAGGACCCACAAGCTTGTCCAGGGGGAACTGCACATATCTAACCTGCTTCGGGACGACCGTCGACGGGGCCAGGTTCTTGACGACGATACCCACAGGCATATGAGGCCACGAAGGGGCCGCTGGGAACGCCAGGACCTCCTTGACGCAGTGCCCTAAACACCTGGACCCCACGAAGAAATCGATCTCCCGCTCATCCTTCCTGTCGACCTCCTCCTCAGGCCCCGAACTGGTTCCTGGAGCGGGCCCTGCTCTACACGTAGCGCAGCCCGTCGTAAACATGCAGCCCCCAACCTTGGACACCCATTCCGATGCTTCAAGCTCTTCAGGAGTAAGGTTCCAATCACCTTGCACAATCCAGAGGCATGTTAGGGACTTAATGTACTCGCCAAGAGTGTTCAACAACTCAACATTGTCCCCTGTTGCGCCAATGCTGGTGTAGAGGTAGACCGAGAAAACCATCAACCCACCTGGAAGTCCTACGTTGATGTGCCTGCTTGCCACGCGCGACTTGAAAGATTCCAACTCGGGTGGCCGTGGCACACTGGAAGACGCCAGGGAGCTGGCCACTGCCAAGCCTACTCCTGCCGAGGACTGCGTCGGACCTGCTCCCGTGGACGCTGCTGGTCCTAGAGAAAACGCGGAGGAGGAGGACGAGGAGGAAGAGGAGAGGACGAGGACGAGGACGAGGAGGATGCCCGAAGCTCCGGGCCCTCGGGAGTCGGACGCGGCTCCGGCGTCCGCGTCCGGAGGGCGGTCGGGGAGGTGCGCGTCCAGTTTCAACGCTCGGGCCGCGCGCGCGATCGCGGGCCTCGCGCCCCCGAGGGGTCCCGCCGCGGTGGGCGTGGGCGGAGCCTCGGCTCGCGGGTGGCGTTGCTCCCCCGGCCCCCGAGCTCCGCCCGAAGGGTGCGGCCGCTCAGGCAAAATGGGGGGCCCTGGGGATGCGCCCCCAGGGGGCTCTTCGGACGCACCCCCCTCGAGGACGGACGCCCCCCACCGCATATTCCAGAGTTGGGCCCCAGGCTTCGGGTCCACTCGGAGCCTTGCAGAATTGTGCAAGATTCCTTCAGGGGGCCCTCCTAGGATTGCTTGAGGCTTCCTCGCCCTTCTCATTGGGTTACCCCAGGATGCTTTTAGGGCCGTCTTGGAGGTCATCTTGGGCGTCTTGGAGGTATCCTGGGCCTGCTGGGAACCCTTTTGGGGCTATCTTGGGGGACTCTTGGGCCGTCAAGGGGGTCATCTTGGAGGCCCCTTGGGCGCTCTTGGGGCCATCTTGCAGGTCTCTTGGGTCGTTTTGGCTCGTCGGGAAGCCGCAAAGGAAGAAACGCAGATGTTTGCCTCTTCGGGCTTTCCCGGAGGTCCTCTTGGAGGCGTCCTTGTCTGGCCGTCTTGGAAACAGATTTGGGCCGTCTTGGGCTTCCCTGTGTCCATCTCAGCCGCTTTGGGCGAACGGGATCACTAGCTTCGATGATATCCCTGTCCCTAGGTTGGGCATCGCCTCACCTCGATGCCGATCTTGAGGATTCCCCTCGGTTTCTGGGGCACATGCGTAAGCTTCTCATCGCCTTTTGGCTTGCCGATCATGTTCTAGCTGGGCTGGACCTAGACGTTGTTTTGCTGGACTTCGGCTGTGTTTTGTGTTTCCCGTTTGGGCAGGGAGGTAAAGAAAAACAGGTAGCGCGAAGCGATACACAATTCGAACACATCACGAAAAACAGCTCTTAGGTCCAGCCCTGTCTTCGAGGCTGGCCGGTAGAGGCATCCTTGGGTCCTCACGGCCCTCTTGTTGGAGGCGGGCGCCGAGCAGATGTCCCACCGTCTTCGGGCGCCACGGCGCGAGCGGTCGCAGCCGGATTCCTTAGATCCGCGCTGGGCCCCCCTGGCGGCGCCTCCGGCGCCGCCCTTGGCGCGCTCCGCGCGCTGGGGAGGGGGATCCGGCGCGGATCCAAGAACTCCGCGCGGAGCGCCAGCAGTTTACGTTTATGTGGTTGTTTCGTCTTCTATAGGTTCAGCCTTGTTCGGGCATGGCCAGGACCCCGGGTAAGGGGACCCGGTTAGTGGTAGGGCCCTGGGGCCCGTCATTGGCCAGATTCACTAAACCAGGTTTGCCGTAGCTTGTGTTTTTGGGGTGACGGCAGTTCCGGTTAGTGGAAATGGGACGGGGGGCGCCCCCGGTACAGATCATTAAACCAGGCTCCATTAAACCCAGTTCTACCAATGCCCGAGGCCCTGTGTTCGAGGCTTGCTGGTGGAGGCCATCTTTCGGTCCTCAGGGCCCTCTCGGAGGCGGGCGCTGTGCGGGAGCCCCGTCGTCTTGGGGCGGCGCGGCGCGAGCGGCCGGGACCCCACCTGGGGGTCTTGAGCGGACGACAGCACTACCGAACGTTCGGCATCCCAGGCACCCTTCCCTCCCTCCTCCTCCTCCTCCTCCTCCTCCTCCTCCTCCTCCCCCTCCCCCTCCCCCTCCTCCTCCTCCTCCTCCCTTCTACTCCTGCTCCCTTCTCCTCCTGCTCCCTTCTCCTTCTCCTCCTCGTCCTCCTCCCATATCCTCCTCCTCTCTCCCTCCCTCTTTCCTCCTCCTCCTCCTCCTCCTCCTCCCTCCTCCTCCTCCCTCCTCCTCCTCCCTCCCCTCCTCCTCCTCCTCCTCCTCCATCCTCCTCCCTCCTCCCTCCGCCCTCCTCCCTCCTCCCTCCTCCCTCCCCCCTCCTCCTCCTCGTCCTCCTCCTCCTTCTCCTCCTCCTTTCCCGCCCTCCTCCGCCCGCCTCCGCCCTATGGAGAGCCAGCAGGGGGCGGTGCATGCACTGGCCATGGGCCCCGTCCGTGGGCCCTGGCGGCGCCTCCTGCTCCGCCATTGGCGCGCTCTGGGAGGGGACTCCAGCGCAGATCCAAGAAATCCGCGCGGACCGTCGAACGTCTATGTTTACGTCAGAGGGGGCCCCTTGAAACATCACAGAGGCCACACCAGGCAGACCTTGGCATCCTGCCCCGCCTCCGCGTGCCAGGGGGCACGGGGGGGGGATTTTGCACTCGGGGATGCTGGTGTGGATGTGTCGAAGCGGGCGTGGGCCGTATCCCGTCCTTCCTGAATCGCAACGGAGTCTAATATGAAGTCGGGCCTGTCACTCTACAGGGGGACTGTTCAAACATAGTCAAAAATAGTAAGGGAGCGTTTTTTTTTTGTTTTGTTTATGTTTCTGTGTGTGTGGCAATGTTTGATATGGTATTCATGTTTCTGTTTTTTCGTCCAATATCCGCCTGTAGGGGGACATGCCCGACCTAATCTAATATCACATGTGCATTTTCCAGCGTTGCAAAGAGCGCTATGAATCGCGGCGTAATGGCATGTCACGCCTTGTTGTGCGATTTGCATGCTGTGGGAGAAAGTGCAAGCAAGACGCAGAAATAAGGAATTGCTTCGGTTTGAAAGGGGCTCGATGCTCCTCAGGTCCTTCTATGGCTGTTTCTTTGTATTGACCTTGACCTGGCCCGCCACTCTAGAGCATTCCCGCTGCGATGAGAACCCACTTGAGGGGCAGCGGATCTTCTGGCGAGGGAAGAAAAAATCCTCCCACTGTTGTTACTCAGGCGCTGCTCGTCCACGCCGGCTCCTCGTTGGGCCAGCCTGGGGCTTCGCTTCCTGCTTGGCGTTTCTTCTCTCGGCAGCCCGCGGCGCCACGAGGGCGCAGCGCCGCCGCCCGCGGCGCCAGGTGGCCGAGCAGGTGGAGGGGGGCGAGCCGCCGCCAGCAGTGCCTGCCCGCGGCGAGCCGGCGGCGACGAAGATCTAGGTGTGATCGGGAGGGCCGTCGAGCCGGCGACGACGGCGAAAGCTCTCTTCCTGTCGCGCCGGGTCTCCTCCTCCTCCTCCTCCGTGCATAGCGGCCTTGATTTGCATACAGCGTGTCCCCTGTTGCCCATCCGCTGGAGCAGTCACCCTCTGCCCAGCTCGGGAGCCCTGAGACGGGGGTCGATGCAAACGGGGGTCAGCCAGAGCTCACGATCTTGCAGGATCCTGCAGGGCCAGGGCCGCACTGACCTGGGCTTGGGTGCAGGACCTTGCAGGATCCGGCAGGGTCCTTCGCACTGACCTTGGCTTGGGTGCAGGATCTTTCAGGATTCTGCAAGCCTGGCTGGCCCGGGTCTGGGTCGACCCAGGTTGGAAGGTCCCCGTTGTGAGGGCCGCTGGCCGGGGAGGGGCGGCGGCGAAGATTCAGGTGTGAGGGTCGCCGGCCGGGGAGGGAGCGGGCGGAGTCAGTCAAGCAGTGGCGAAGCGTCTTGGCGTGCCCATAGGCCCACCAAACCATGTGGTTTCCACGAAGTGTTCTTAGAACATGTCCTCCCAGGATTGTCTTGTTTGCCACGTCGCATCAATGTTCTAAGAACATGTTTGACTTTATTTTTGGAGCACTTTTGGGGTTCCAAGAACCTTTCGTGGTAGGTCTATAGGAATGCCGGGACGGTCGGTCCCTGCTCAAATCAAGGGCAACGGTTCGGGTGGATCGAAAGTGGGTACGGAAAGAATGCGTACGAAGATTGACAGCAAGTTCTGTCCATTTTAGACGGGGCTCGCTGTCGGCGTCGCCGCGGATGTTGTGCCCATTGGAGGCAAGAGGCCGCCTGCCTAACGGCGGCCGCTGATGGTTGTGCACATGACTTGTTGTTTTGCATTTTACAATTTTTTTGCGTACCCTTTTGCGGGCGTCCAAAACGAAAAGGGGGGATTGGCTCATGGGGGGGGGGGCATCGTTCCCTCATCGCCAATGCAGCGTCGACGGGGGCTTGATAGTCCACTCCGCAGAGGACCGTGCTGATTCGCTATCGAGGGCCTACCGCCGATCTATCGGCGAGTTGTCGCCGACTCCAGGTCGATGTCTCCTTCCCTGCGCTGGTCCCCAGGGCTTGACCTGAACGCTATCGTTGCTATACTTTCTGGCTGTGCTGCTTGTTGTTTTTTGTTCTACGCGCGTCGCGCGTTTTGTTTTCGGTGTATACCAATCTTGATGACGATGCCGATTGTTGGTCCGAGCAGTGCGTTACGTTGAATGTGTTGTTTGGCTACGTGCGACGCGCCGTGTTTTGTTGTTGTTTCGTTTGGATATGTCGCTGCAACTTTGTTGTGTGCTAGTTTTGTTTCACGTCTGGGTCATTGTATCCGGCGCATAGATGTTGCCAATGTCTTCGGCGTGCGTTGGTTCTTCATGTGTGTTGTTATGTTGTGTTGCATTTCCTCTTTCGTTTTGCTTTCCCTCGCTTCCGTCTCACCGCCCTCTCCGTTCGTTTTACTTCATGGCCCTTCGTTTTGCCTTCTATTCCCTTCGTCTGACCCTTCTTCCTTTTACGTTTGACCACATCTGGCTTCCACTCCTTTTTCGTTTTACACCCTCCCTTGTGTGTTCCCCTTCTTCCCTTTTGTACATTCTCTTCGTTGTGCTCTACCTTCCCTTCCGTGTTACCCTGCTTTCGACCCGTTTTGCTTTGCCCCCCCCCATCGTTTTTTCTTCCATTCCTTTTGTTCCATCTTCCTTCACTTACGTGTTACCCTCCATTCTCATGGCGCCAACATCGCAGAGCGGATTTCGGTCGGAAAACAATGGGATGGGGCTGGATTGTCTTGGAGAATTTCGTTCCCGATTCCGAGGTGAATTTCGTGCGGATCTGTTTTGGCCAGAAATGAAGACCAAGACAAATCCACGCCAAATTCTCTTCGTTTTCCGCTCGTCGTTTCAAGGTTTACAGTGACGGAAATCCATGCAAAAATCCACTGCAGCACGTCTGCACGGCCGGTGCAATGCTCATTATTTTGTTGTAGCTTCCCTCTCGCCGCCGCCGTCGTCACCGTCGCCGTCGTCGTCGTCGTCGCCTTCGGCGGCGGCGGCGTCCAGGAAGCGGTCCAGGAAGGCGGCCTCCTCGCGAGTGGGACCCAGCCATCTGAGGCTTCGAAGAAAAATGTTTGCGGCCGCTTCTGGGCCATCTTCCAGATCCACAGGCCCGGTCCTGTCTTCGGATCCGTCAAAAACGCTGATCGGGGCTCAAGAGACGGGGGTCCATGCAAACGGGGGTCAGCCAGGGTGCCGAGTCTCGCAGGACTGCAGAGCCGGGGCTGCAGCGACCCGGGCCTGGGTGCAGGATCCTGCAGGGCCCTGCAGGATTTGTTTGCAGGATCCTGCAAGGGCTGACTGACCCGTGTCTGGACTGATCCGGGTCAGAAGATCCCCCCGAGAAGGACAGAGCAGGCTTCCACCGCAATGCTGGCCACCTTCATCTTGACCTCCTTGACCTTCTTGAGGAGGAGGAGGAGGAGGAGGAGGAGGAGGAGGAGGAGGAGGAGGGGGAAGAGGAGGGGGAAGAGGAGAGGAGGAGGAGGAGGACGAGGAGGAGGAGGAGCAGGAGGGGAGGAGTAGGAGGAGGAGGGAGGAGGAGGGGGAGGAGGAGGGGGAGAGGAGGAGGAGGAGGGGGAGGGGCCTCAGTGAAGTTGCCTCAGGGTCTGTGGTCTGTTCCCGGCCCGGTTTCCGGGGCGATCGGAAAAGGGTGCGGAGAGAGTGGGTCGGGGGTTGCTAGAGGTACCCCTGGCCCCAGGTACCTCCCCCGTTTTGGAGCCCCCGGGGCCCTCCTTAGGGGAACAAGAAGTGACATAAACATAACAACTCGGAGGTCCGCGCGAATTTCTCGGATCGGCGCTGGGGCCCCCCCGGCGGCGCCTCCAGCGCCGCCCCTGGCGCGCGGAGCGCGCCAGGGAGGGGGGTCCAGCGCCGATCCGAGAAATCTGCGCGGACCTCAGAGTTTTTATGTTTATGCCACTTTTCGTTTCCCTACTCCTGGGCCTCGTGAGGGATGCTCTGGAAGCCGTGGGGGCCTCCCCGAAAACCCTGGGGGCGCCTTTGGCCAGGGGCACTCCTAGCAACACCCGAATGGAACGGGTACGATGCCCCACAGCAGTTCCTGCTCATTGTGAGCAGGACTCGCTGTCCGCGCCGCCGCGGACGTTGTTCATTGAAGACAGAAAGCCGCCTGCCCGGCAGCGGCTGCTGCCGGTTTTGTACAACATCTGTTGTTGGGCATTGTGCCCATTATTTTCGTGCCCGTTTCGGGCGTCCAGACAGTTGCTCTGGTCCTTGCCCCCCTTCGTTCTGTCTTTGGCCCCACGTGCCTGCCTTTTCCCGGCCCCCTGTATGTTCTCTCCCGGCCCCTGCCATTTTTTTCCCTGCCCCAGGGGGTTGCTTCATTCCTGGCCGCTTTGTTTGTCCTGCCTCCATTTGTGTGTGTATGTGTGTGTGTGTGTGTGTGTGTGTGTGTGTCTGGTGTCACTGCTCTTTCTCTCCTGGCCTCACTCGCCCCAGGGGCTCGTGACTCCGTGGCCCAAGTTGTTTTTCCTGGCCCCCCCAAATTTCTCCTGGTCCCACGGGTTTGTTATGTATTTCCTCGCCCCATGTTATTTCCCGCCCTCAATTGTGCTTTTCATGGCCCGCAGGCTTTGTCTTTGTTTACTGGCCCACGTTTTTGGTCCCTGGTCCTGTGTGTGTGTGTGTGTGTGTTTCCAGGCCCGATGTGCTTGTCCTTGCCCCCCATTTTTCAGGCTCAATCATTGTTTTTGCTCCTAGGTCTTCAGTGTTTGTCCCTGGCCACATTGGTTTTGCCCCGTCCCCATGTAGCGTAATTACTCGCGATCATACACGCATCTATATATATATATATATGTATATATATACACATACACATGTACATACATATAGTTCCCTCTCTCTCTCAGTTGTTTGTGTTTTTTGTTGTTGTTGTGTTTTTTTTGTTGATCACTCTCTCTCTCTCTCTCTTCGTTGTTCCCTCTCTGATCTCTCTATCTCTTTATATATGCGTGTATATATAGATATACATATGTATGCACATGCTGACCGTCGGTGTACTAATCCAGGGGGGCAAGGAGGCTTACAGGATGCTTATCGGAAGCAGTTGTGACCCTTCTTTGGGGCTGTGTTGGCGTCTCTTGGGGCTTTTTTGGGTCCTCTTGGGCAGCTGGGAGCTGCTGGGAGCCTCTGTGGGGGTCCTTGTTGCCTCTCGGGGGCCGTTCTGGGGCCCCATTGGGCCGTCTTGGGCGCCTCTTGAGCCGTCTTGGGGCTCTCTTGGGCCGTCGTGGGGGCCTCTTCAGTGCCTCTTGGGCCGTTTTGGTACGACCTGGGGGGCGTGTTGGGCCGTCTTGGAGCGTCGGGAAGGCGAGACGTTGTTGATGCTGAATATGTTCTCTTATCCAGGGAATTGGGCGATGTTGGTCTCTTCGGGCTCTCTTTGGAGGCTTCTTGAGGTGTCTTGGGGCGAAATGGGGGCCTCTGGGATTGTCTTGTGGCCATCGTGGGCGTCTTGCAGCCTCTTGGCCCAGCTTGGAGCCCTACGGAAGCCATCAGGAGGCGTCTTTGGTATTCCAGGCGCGCTCGGGACCCAGCGGCCCCCAGCGGGACCAATGCCTAGCTGGATCAGTTTTCTTTCATTGTATTTGTACAGCTATATATATATGTACATATCCATGTGTATATATTACAGATGGAGAGAGAAGGAGAGAGAGAGAGAGAGATAGAGAGAGAAAGAGAAACAGAGAAAAAGAGAGAGAGAGAGAAACTTGTATAGAAGAGGCTTCTGGGCCGCGGAGCCCAGGGGCGGCCCATTTGCCAGGACAGCGCCAGGAGAGGAGACCACCAGAGTGACAGTTTCTGCCCGAGAGGACTTCCGAGATGCCGCGGGTCGGCCCTAAGATCGCTCCACACGTACCCAGAATCTCCCGATGACCCCCCAACAAGCTAAAATGTTACAGTAACCATTTGTATTTCTGTGATTTGTGCCTCTCGCGTTTTCGCACTCGATGGGTGCGCGAGGCTTCAGTATAGCCCCAAGACGGCCCAAGAGAGCCCGAAAAGGAGCCCAAGAGGGCTCGAAGACACCCCAAAAGACCCTGGAGAGGTTCCCAAATTCTGTTTAAGAGGGCCCCGATAGGTAGTTTTTCGATCTACGAGTGGGGGGGGGGAGAAAAGGGGCGAGCGCCCAAGCGGCGAGTTCCTGGAGAGCACATGGGAACGGTAGGAGCGGTATCGGAGACCTTCGGCGAGCTCCACGAGGCGACGGATGAATAGAGACTCAATTTGGAATGGGGAGGACGAGAAGGGCTAGTTTGGGGCAGATCCTCCTCTTCCTCGCTCCAGCTGGACAGCGCTGGCCAAGTGTTTAGCAGAATTCGTGCCTCGCTCCAGCTGGACCCCACGGGGGTGCTGGACACGCCGGCCGGCGGGAGGCGGAGGAGGAGCGGCTGCAGCGGGCGATGGCCCCGAGAGGTGTGGAGACGGGATCCATCGGCGGAGCAGGCGGCAGCAAGCAGCACCACGTGGCAGCGAGCCTCTCCAAGCAGCGGTACACGCTGGTCGTTGAAAGTAGGTATGTCGTGGATGCCCAGATCCCATTCTGCTTGAGGCGCTTTCCTACTTCAAGCTTCTGGCTGTTTTCCCTCTTGCCTCTTCCCTCTTCGGGGGGCGGGCGGAAGCCGCCTGCTGCATGCTTCCACCTACTCCTTCCGACTGGCGGGCATGCCCCAGCAAGCAGTCGCTAGCAGCAGCAGCAGCAGCAAGCGGCAGCAGCAGCAGCAGCACAAGCAGCAGCAGCAGCAGCAGCAGCAGCAGCAGCAGCAGCAGCAGCAGCAGTCGGCTTTTGGGTCAGCTCTTCCTGCCGTGCCCGGGGCATTTGTTTTTCACAGGAGCCAGAATGCGGCCTGCTCTCGGACAGTCGCGGGCCCGGGAGCGCACATCCATTTTCGTTTGAACAAGGGCGCCCTCGAGGGCGCGAAGTTATTCGCGCCTCGCGCCTCGCGGTTCGGCTCCGATTCTTCCTCCTCTTCCCCCCTGGGAGGCGGCGCCGGAGCGCGAAGTTGTTCGCGCTTCTCGCAGAGCGAAGCGCGAAGTTGGGAGCCCTTGTGGAATGGGGTCGTATCCATGGGGGTGCGGACCGATGGCAGTTCATCGGAGATCGTGACCCTGGGGGCGCAGGCCACGTCATCTTTCGGGACACTGGCCTTGGGAGAGCGTCCCAGTCCTCTGCCGGAAATCGTGGCCCTCGGAGCGCGGGACCCTCGTACTCTGGATGGTGGCCTTGATCAATGATTAAGTCTTGGGCAACCATTCTTATTAGGGGGGACGGTATTTTTTACACGTCCCAGGCTGAGAGGATTGTGCTCGGAGATGGTATTGGTCCCGTTCGGGCCCCGAGTCTCTCGCGCTCCGAGTAGCAGCAGCAGCAGCGGCAGCAGCACAGGGGTCGGCATTCCCAGGTTCCGAGCCACAGGCAGCGGAAGGCGCTGTTGTTACAGTGGCGCAGGCGCAAGGAGGTGAAGCGGATTAGTGGCTCAGAACGAACCCCACAAATATATGAACCTGGGTGTATAATGTTCTGGGGTTATTGACCAGGGTTCATGATGTCCCCCCCCGGAACATTACGAACCTGGGTCTTCATGTCCCCGGACGTATTGGCTGTGGTCCAGTGTGTCCCCCCGGAACATTATAAACCTTGGTTTATACTGTTCAGGGAACATCGATTCCCAAAGATGTTGAGTTCGGTTCCTAAAGTTCAGGAAATATTTACTGGGGGTAATATTGTCTCGGGCATCATGATCCCAGGTACATGATTTTGAAATGATAAGCATAGGCTGATGGGGCGTCGCCTGAGCCATACATCGGCGTTCAGACCGCTTTTTTTTCCGATTGGAAAAGCACGGCGCTGCGCGAATGCAACGCAAACGCTATGCTGGAAGGGCGCGGCAATGCATGCCCTCTGGACAGGCGAGAGCAGCCGCGCCCCCGTGCGAACCCTGATCCCGCGCGGGGCGCGTTCCCGTTGACAATGGCTCACCCGGGGAACCGTTTCTTGCGCAGGAAGTCCTGAGCGGTCTGCCCGTCGGCGGCTCCTTCAGACGAGGCCCGAAACTACGGGAGTTCTAAGCTGTTTGCCCATGTTCGGTTTCGTCGGGGTGGGCCCGGAGACCTGAATAACTATTTTTTTTGTTGCAAAGAGTCCGGCATTATCCTTACCAGTTTGGCTCAATCGTGGATCTTCTAGCTTACTCAAGGGCTTAATCTGTCACCGAGCGCATTGCGCTACTCGCAAAGTGCCTAGTCGCAAACGTCCGAACAACATATGCTTGCTTCGGCGACATGCGTCGAAAATCCCCCGCGGCGAATCGAGGCCATTTGCGAGTAGTGACTTTGCGAGTAGTGAAGCGCGCTCTTCTAGTCTGGCCGCATCCAGCACAGGGGCCCCTTGATCCAGAGGAGATGCGGACCGCCGCCACCGACGCCCCATCGGTAGGGAACCGACCCCCGGGCGGTGTTACGGCCGAGCGCCACCTACAGCACAGGTCGACGCTGTGTCGTGCCGCCGCCCGGGGGGCGGTGCCGCCCCGGGGGTCTCTGTGGCTGCGGTGCACTGGTTCTCTTCTGTTTGATCGGCCGTGCTGGCCCTTCCTCGTTGTTGCGAAAACCTCATTCGAAGGACAAACAACGCCATAAACATGACGTTATGGCAGTCCGCGCGGATCCAAGAGATCCTCGCGGAGCGCCAGCAGTTTATGGTTATGGTATTCTTCATTTTCCTATTCCCAGGAGTTTCTTCCCCAGGAAGCAGGAGCGAACAGCATCGCAAACAAGTCAGCGTAGATCCCCAGGAACATTCGTCACGGGAAATGTTGGCCAGACCGCGCCAGACTTTTCGCCGCCACGTAGCTGGGTGGCCCAGGCGGGCGCGGGCGCCTCGTTGTATTGCAGAGCCAAGAGGCTGTGATAGCGACCCCTCATCGCTCGGAAAGGGGATCACTGTTCCTTAGGTGCCTGTGTTCGAGCATCGGTCAGGAGGGGGAGGTGGGGCATTCGGAGGTGGGGCATTCGAGCAGCAGTCAGGAGGGGGAGGAGGCAAATCCCTTCAGGATCGGAGGTGAGGCATTCGAGAATCGGTCAGGAGGGGGACGATGCCAAATTGTTTTGAAATCGGAGGTGCGGCATTAGAGCAGCGGTCAGGAGGGGGAGGAGGCTAAACCCCTCCACGATCGGAGGTGGGGCATTAGAGAATCGGTCAGGAGGGGGACGATGTCAAATCCCTTTGATATTGGAGTTTGGCCGTTAGAGAATCAGTCAGGAGGGGGACGATGGGAAAATAATCCATGACATATGCATAAAAACTCGGAGGATCTCGCGGACTTTTCGGATCGTCGAATCGTTTCGCTCGCCGTGCCTGATTAGAGGAGCCCGCGGTGGTTTCCCGAAGAAGAAGAGAAAAAGGAGGAGGAGTACCCTTCTCCTCCTCCCTCCTCCTCCTCCTCCCCTTTCTCCTCCCCCTTTTCCTCCTCCTCCCCCTCCTCCTCCCCCCCCTCCCCCTCCTCCCCCTCCTCCCCCTCCTCCTCCTCTTCCTCCTCCTTCTCCTCCTTCTCCTAAATCCCCTCAAGCTCGGCCTCCGGACCCCTCAGGGGTTCCCGGAGCCGTTTCATTATAAACGGTCCGGGGGCCCGAAACGCGGCCTCCCCGGAGGCAGGAGAAGGCAGCAGCAAGCTCTCGAGTCCGGAGCCTCGAACCTCGAGCCTCGCTACACTTTTCCCAAGGGCGCCCTCGAGGGCGCGAAGTTATTCGCGCTTCGCGCAGCGCGAAGCGCGAAGTTTGGAGCCCTTGTTTCGTGCTGGTTGGCCAGAACCTCGAACCTGAAACCTCGAGCCTGAAACGATGGGCAAGTTTTCCACCACCACTACCACATGCAGGACGGGGGAGAAGTGAGGATAGAGAGGTCCTCCTCAGCCTTTTCCTCCTCCTCCTACATATGGATACATATGGTAGTGGTGGTGGAAAGACGGCCCATCATCGAACTTCGAACTCGCTGGCTGGCACTAGTGCTTGGCCACCTCAGGCCCGAAGCCGGCTCCAGCCCTCGCCACCCCCCCAGGGCGTTTTGGCTACATTTGTTCCCCACATGCTTCGTGGGGTTCTGGTTTTCTGCCTTGCCGCGCCGCACCCGCGACACTCCCACACACACCTCACTCTTCCTCTCCTCCTCACAGCACTGCTCAGCACATCTCAGCTCAGCTCAGCTCAGCACGGCACAGCTCAGCACAGCACAGCTCAGCTCATCTCAGCACAGCACAGCACAGCTCAGCTTAGGGGGTGCGCAGGGGGTGGTCCCTCACCGCGGCCGCACGCAGGAATGCAGGGTGCGGCAGGCGTGGCAATGTCTCCATAACAGAGGTGGTGCGCGGGGGGTGCGGTCTCTATGCGTTGCAGGCGCGCAGGGCACGGCAGGCGCTCTCTCGACACCAGGAGGGTGCGCAGAGGGTGCGGTCTCTATGCGTTGCAGGCGCGCAGGGCACGGCAGGCGTGGGAATTCTCGACACCAGAGGGATGCACATGGGGTGCGGTCTCTATGCGTTGCAGGCGCGCAGGGCACGGCAGGCGCGGCATTTTCTCGACACCAGGAGGGTGCGCAGGGGGCGCGGTCTCCTCTATGCGTTGCGGGCGCGCAGGGCGCGGCAGGCGTGGAAATTCTCGACACCAGAGGGGGTGAACAGGGGGTGCGGTCTCTATGCGTTGCAGGCGCGCAGGGCACGGCAGGCGCGGCATTTTCTCGACACCAGGAGGGTGCGCAGGGGGTGCGGTCTCTATGCGTTGCAGGCGCGCAGGGCGCGGCAGGCGTGGCATTTTCTCGACACCAGAGGGGGTGCACAGGGGTGCGGTCTCTATGCGCAGGCGCGCAGGGCACGGCAGGCGTGGCATTTTCTCGACACCAGAGGGGCACAGGGGGTGCGGTCTCTATGCGTTGCAGGCGCGGGGCACGGCAGCGCGGCATTTTCTCGACACCAGGAGGGTGCGCAGGGGGTGCGGTCTCTATGCGCTGCAGGCGCGGAATTCTCGACACCAGAGGGGGTGCACATCGGGTGCGGTCTCTATGCGTTGCAGGCGCGCAGGGCGCGGCAGGCGTGGGAATTCTCGACACCAGAGGGGGTGCACAGGGGGTGCGGTCTCTATGCGTTGCAGGCGCGCAGGGCACGGCAGGCGTGGCATTTTCTCGACACCAGAGGGGGTGCACAGGGGGTGCGGTCTCTATGCGTTGCAGGCGCGCAGGGCACGGCAGCGCGGCATTTTCTCGACACCAGGAGGGTGCGCAGGGGGTGCGGTCTCTATGCGTTGCAGGCGCGCAGGGCGCGGCAGGCGTGGGAATTCTCGACACCAGAGGGGGTGAACAGGGGGTGCGGTCTCTATGCGTTGCAGGCGCGCAGGGCACGGCAGGCGCGGCATTTTCTCGACACCAGGAGGGTGCGCAGGGGGTGCGGTCTCTATGCGTTGCAGGTGCGCAGGGCATGGCAGGCGTGGGAATTCTCGACACCAGAGGGGGTGCACAAGGGGGCGGTCTCTATGCGTTGCAGGCGCGCAGGGCGCGGCAGGCATGGCAAAGTCTCGATAACAGAGGGGGTGCGCGTGGGGTGCGGTCTCTATCCGTTGCAGGCTCGCACGGCGTAGCAGGCGTGTCATTTTCTCGACATCAGAGGGGGCGCGCAGGGAACGGCCACCAACATCATTCTCGCATGCTTCTTTTCAGCTATCATCACTCCAGCCATAATATAAGTATGTGGGGTTCCTCGGTAGCGTAATTTTGTTGTCCGGGCGGACCCTGACAGTGAAAACCCATGACAAGAACACCGTGCTTGCCTCCAGGGAACCCTGGGATTCTTGGGTCTCGATGGAATTGCTATGGAGAGCGTGGCGTCCCCACCCCAAAAATCAACGGACCTGGAGTCTCAGGGTTTTGTGTCTAGGCCTCCTAGATGGGGTCCGAGCAGATGGGGTCGGGGGATCGCGCCGCATCGCCGATGCATCGACGATGCGGCTCGATGTGCAGACCATGCTTCCCCGCGCCGACGCCGCCGATGCATCGCCGACGTCGCCGACGCATCGCCGATGCATCGCCGGCACATGGGCGATTCATTAGCGATGCGGCGCGATCTTTCCACCCCATCTACTCGGACCCAAACTGGGAGACCTCTTATTGTTCGGGTATAGCCAGGACCCCAGGTACGGGGACCCGGTTAGTAGTAGGGCCCTGGAGCCCCTAAATTGGCCAGAATCACTGAACCAGGTCTGCCGTAGCTTGTAAGCGCCTTAGTCTCCGATGTAGCGTGCCGCGCTGGCGGCCCGCGTAAGCCGCCGTGTAAGGTCGCCGTGCCATCTCGCGTAAGACCCCTTTTTGATCGTCGCCGTCATGATGCGCGGGCTTCAGCCTACCCACCCACCCAGTAGATCACATAACGCCCGCTACCAATGCCGCTATACCTTCATTTCCGCCTTGTTGGGGCCTGTGGGGAGGCCCTCGTCGACACGGCCGGATTCGCTTCGAAATTTTGGTCAGAGCGTGCCCTGGGAGAGGTCCGTGGAGTAATTAGCTGTATCGGTCCCTTGTTGTTCTGCCAGACAGTTTAGCTGAAGGCAGTGTTGCTGAAGCGTTTTGCTGCTCAGGGCGTCTGCTCAGGGCGTCTGTCCTGCGCAGGCTGTCGGCCCTTCGAAGGATAGCCAGCGGATTCACGGGCATATATTTGGTGCGCCCGTATTTGCACATATGGTGGGCCAGAGGCCGCCGCAGCGTACCGGGTCCTGCGACCCATGCTTGAATTCACATGTCTGTTGCAGGGGTGACCGTCAGACGAGGGCCCGCACGCCTGTTTTCAGGCAGTTCAGCGTGGAGGGAGCGGGACTGGCATCAACGATGGAGCGAAGGCAGCCAACTGCGATCAATCTGGACGATTTTCCTGGAGTTCGTTGTGCAAGCTACGGAGCCCATCCAGCACTTAGCGAGCGAGCATTCGGGTGTTCCGTCCACGGCCATGATTGGCGTGAGGGTAAGCCTTTGAGGCGCGGCATTGTTGCAGCTCTCGCCGGTTCGGGGCTTCCTTGGAATGAGCTCTGTTTCCTCGGTCCAGGGGTCCCCTGGCCTTGCCTTCTCGATGACTTGTAATCATCCTGCGGCGTGAATTTCATGGCCGAGGTTGACCGTACAGTGGAGGCCCATGCCAAGAAACACCCTGCTCGTGTCCAGGGTGCCCTGGGTCTCTTGGGTTTCCATGATTTCTCGATGGGGAGCGTGGCGTTCCCACACCAAAAATTCATGGACGTCCTGGGGTCTCAGGGTTGGGTTTCTTGTGAATGGTTTCTTGTGGTCGGGCCTCCACTGCATGAAAGGGGTCTGTGGCTGTGGCTGTCCATAAGAATCCTCGAGCGCGGCCTCTTTGGCCCGTTGTCGGGGACCATTTGAAATTAGTCCAGGCATGTCCCTCTACAGGAGGACTCTTCAAACATCGTCAGAACTTAGTCGGGGGGCGACTCTTCGACTATGCGTTTGACGATTTTGAGTTTTTTCTCTTTACTGCTCCTGCTCGTCGCCTATCGGTTCTTTTGGTTATGTTGCTCCCATCGTACCTGAGGACCACATCCCATGAATAATTTCGAGCACCCGGAAGAGTGTCGAGCGAGTGTCGGACACAGCGTCGAGACAGCGCCAGGCGAGTTTCCCAGGGCCCGACGCGCGAAGCCCCTCGATTTGTTTTTTGGGGAATTTTTCTGGTGCTCGAAGTTCTTTCAGGAGGGAAAAACACACAGACACAATTCATCGTCGATTCCCCAGAACATATGGGAAAATATGGGAATTGGGCGGGAAGACAAAAGCCCAGAACATATTGGGAAATATGGGGAGTCCTTTTATTTGTGTGCATTTATTTGTGTGTCCCAGGGCCCCTCCAGAAGTTCTTGCTGGTGCTCAAGGCTGGAGCCTCCGACTCTTCTGGAACGTCATGACTCTCTCTTTAAAGTAGGCTGGAAATTCTCCTCTCAAAGCAGGTCATACCATGCTTCCCGCTAAAGTAGCCTGGGACATCACACGACCGCATGGAGGGGTGGCGCCTTCGCAGCCCGCGCACGGCCTCTGTGCTCCGCTCGCCGCGGTCCCTCCCGCGTGGGGTTCGCCAGCCCTCGCCGCACGGCTGGGAGTCCTCCTTCCGCTCTCGGCGTGCCCAGAGAAGGGGGGGGGGCGCCATGCGGGGCAGGGCTCTCCGCCGACGGCTTCTTGCTCGGGGGGGTCAAGACACACACAGAGAGACAGACTCAGCGAACTCGGCATCGCTCGGACGTGTGCGTTTCTCCTTGGGCGAGGGCCATCGAGGAGCCTCCCTGATCATGTGGCGAAGCGGCCATGAACGAAGCTGAAGAGGGCACAGGGAACGGACGTCCGAGCGATGGCCAGCGGATCGTCGCTCCCCAGGAAAAAATAGGGGAAGCGATGGGAAGTGGGTGGGGAAGACAGGCCCTGAACATGTGGGAAAAGATGGGGAATCCTGTGGCTCGTGTCCACCTGCTGGTGTGCCCCGGGGCCCCTTCGCTCTTGCGCGGAAGCCGGGCGACGGCTCGCACGCCCGTGGCCGCCGAGGCGGAGCGCCGGGTCTTTCTCTTTTCCGGGAGGGCGCGGCCCGTTTTTTTTTTTTGTTTTTCCCCCCGGGGGCGGCAAAGGGGGAGATGAGGACTAGGGGGGGGATAGGAACCCTTTTCGTTGGGGAGGGGCTCGGTGTTCCTTGATTGTTCTACAGTTTGCCTTCTGTTTTCCTGAGGTTTTCCATGGGAAATCGAAATTCAACTTCTGGAGAAAAGGGGCCTCGTTCCTCATTTAGGGTTCCTTAGGTCAGCGCCCCGACTGTAGGGGGGTGGATAGATATCATGGCGTGGGCCATGATCTTTCCCCAGATGTCATGGCGCCTCTTCTTGTTCCACTACGTCCCTGGCCCCCCCCGCTGGGCCGCGCACATGCCGCCGGTCATGATTTGCACCCCCCCCCTCGTGGACACCCCCCTCTTGGCCGCTCCCGATTTTTACTCAGCGCGCTGAGTTTTTTATTCCGGGAGATGTTCTTCCTTCCGGGCAGACCGTTTCGGCAGCCTCGGATTTGCCAGCTCTCGCCGAGCTTCCGACTTACACCACTGCGATGCAAGTTTGTCTTGTCATGAATCGGGCCAATCCCCCTCACCCCCCTTCCCCCATGTAACGGTGCCGTACGTAGGGTTATGATGTTCCAACCTATTACTTTAGCCTTGATTCCCAGGGAGAATTTAGAGCACAATAAAAAAGTACCGAAACTCGAGGGTTTTCACGTGTCGGGCCCTGGGAGACACTCGTCCGACGCTGTTTCGACACTCGTTCGACACTCTTTGGACACGTTTCCGGGTGCTCGAAATTATTTCTTCGATGTGGTCTTTAAGCAGGATGGGAGCAACACAAAGGTAGGGAGTGGTGTGGACCCCCTCCCCACATGCTGGTGCTCGCGCACGTACCATGGCGATCGGGACGTCGCAGCGCTCCTCCGCCCAGACGTGCCCCACCCCGCCCAATCGTTTCCATTACCCGGGGCCCCGACCCCCTCTCCACAGCCCCCATGGCAGGACCGCTACCAGAAATTACAGTGGGGGCGCGCATCAAGAAACCCTATGCTTTTCGTTAGGGTATCCTGGGTTTCTTCGCTCCTCGCGCTGCGCGGTGACTTCCCGCAGCCGTTGAAGGAACTGCTGCGTTCAGGGTGCTCCGCGTTTCCCCTCAGGTGCACCTCGCGCACGGGTTCTCAGGGTTGGGTTTCTTGCGATGGTTTCTTGCGGCCGCGCCCGCACAGTATTCCGACGGTAGGACACCACACGAAAATCTTCCAAAATGATTTGGAAGTAATCCTCATTGTCGTCTTTATGACTACGGAGGCTCTCCTCCTGTCTTGTTTTGGTTGGTCCTTCTCGATGCTTACAAGCTTGATTCAGGATGGCCGCCTCGAATTACGAAGGACGCTCGACAAAGAAACGAGGCTCCCGCTCGAGACCATCTCAACATTCAGACCCCCAGATGTCACCAAACGTGTGCTTTTTCATAGTATCCCGATGGTCTTCTCGGATTAAAATCATGAAGCGGGGCGCCCGCAGGGAGGGTTCCCGCTCGAGGCTTCCTGCCTCTCTCGCGATGCACGGGCAGACGAGCGCCCGAGACATCCCTTTCAATTTGCGCAGGAAAGAGGTGTTCACTCGATGATCCGCTTTCGTCGGGCTCTCTGGTGTCCTCACACCCCTGCTTTGGCATGGCATTCCAATGGCTTCCTCGTGAAAACCATCACGAGGCGGGGGCCCCGTGGGGACCAGGCCCGCGCTCTGGACCTCCCCGCGATGCCTTCGCAGGCGACTGGAGCGCCCGAGGCATTCTTCTCGCACACTTTGCGCGGGAACGAGGCTCCCGCTCGAGACTTGGCTCCCGCTCTGGACTTCCCCGCGATGCCTTCGCAGACGATTGGAGCGCCCGAGGCACTCTCGCACACGTTGCGCAGGAACGAGGCTTCCGCTCGAGACCTGCCTCGGGATTCCGGCTCCCGGGTGCCACCGAACCTACGTTTTTACACGGTGTTCCCATGGCCCCCCCAGGCAAGCAAGCAAGCAAGCAAGTCCGGCCGGGTGACTCAGAGAGCCGCTCGCCCCATTAATGGGGACGGAAATGAGGACAGTGTGAAACAAAACGACTACCTGTGCACAATATATCAATAACACCCCTCGCATCAGACAGAATGTTCGGCACAGTGCGGTTGCGCCCCTGACGGGGCAGCCTGGCGACCAACATAACAAATACCATGGCCCCCCCGGATTCCCCAAATGATCTGTGGGCCCACTGGAAGGAGTGCCCCTCTCGAGTTGACCCGCAGTTCGCTCACCGTCGAGGCTCCCGCTCGAGAGTTCTCTGGTCTCAGGCTCGCAGGAGTCACCAAAGCCTGCGTGTCGACACGGTTTTCCGATGGCCACCTCGGATTGCTGCTATGAGTGGGGACCCCATACGGATGGGGGTTCCTGCTCGAGTTTTCCTAGCAATTCGCTCACACATGAGGCTACCGCTCGAGAGCACTTTTTGATTCAGGCTCCCAGGCTGTTACCCCAACAGATGGGTTTCAGCACAGTCTTCTGACGGCCGTCCCGGATCATCAACCTGATCTATGGGTCCCATAGGGAGGGGGCTCCCGCTCGTGTTCTCCCCGCAGCATTCGCGGACGATGCTCCGCTCGAGACCTCTCTGGGATTCAGGCTCCCAGGTGTCACCAAACCTGTTTATTTATGTTATTTATATACACTTATATATATATATACATATATGTATATATATATATATATATATATATATATACTGGGGGCGGGGGCTCCCGCCCAGCTGCCCCCTGTCGTCATGGTGACCTCAGGTCCCCCAGAGAGTCCGGGCCGTGCCGCGAACCTGCCTAGAGAGCCTCAGGACGAGTCGGAGTGCCCCCACAGGCCCCCGAGACATCCCAGAGGCCCCCGAAACGACCAAGATGAGCCCAAGACGGCCAAAGTGGCCGCCAAGACGCTGCAAAAAGTCCCCAAGAGGTCTCCCAGGAGGACCCCGAGAAGGGAGATTTGCTAATTTTCCACTGTGTGTGTTCCGATGTTTTTGGCCTTCTCGCCCTTTCGCCTTCCCGACGGCCCAAGAGACCCGCCAGGGCACCCGAAGACGGCTCAAGAGGCCCCAAAGACGCTCCTCGGACGGACCAAGAGACCCAAGGCAGCCCAATCTAAGGCGGCCCCAAGAGAGCCCCTAGAGGACGACGAAACATTTGAAAATCCAGCTTTCCGCCCCGGAAGGGCCCCAGGAGACTCCAAGAGGGCCCGAAGAGGTCCCCAGAGGCCCTCAAGAGTCCCCAAGGAGATCCGAAGAGACCCCAAGAGGCCTCCAAAAGATTCCCAGAGACGACAAATACAGGCCCCCAGAGACCCGCAAGAGACCCCCAAGAGCCCTCATGGAGCCTTCAGGCCACCACAAGCCGAGGAGGCCCCGCCCCACCCGCGAGAGGCTTTTCTTCGCCCCCATGTTCCGGACAAGGCTTTCCGGAACATGGGAAAAGGCTCATGCGCCGCCTACATCGACGACGACGATCGCGCAAGGTACCGAGGGCAGGGGTCCAGGGTCGAGGGTGCGAGCGAATGGGGCGCACGAGCGCAGTAGAATAGTCAGAGGCCCCCCCATGTTCCGGAAGCGCGCTTCCGGGACATGGGGTGGAAGAGAAGACCCCGCCGCCTTCGTGGCAAGAGTCCCCCCCTCAGCGCCCTGGCCGCGCCCGCAATTAGAACCTGAATGCGCGCGAAGCGCGCGCGAAGGTTCTAGTATATATATATATATGTGTATATATACATATATATGTGCATATACATATATATATGTATGAATGTATGTATATGTATGCGCGTGTGTATATATATACATAGATATCACCATTAAATATCAAACCTAATATGCATATCTTTTATATAGGTGTGTGTGTACGCATATCGTTTTCTGAGATCCGCCTTGGATTACCAATATTAAGTGGAGTCCCCATCGAGGGGGCTCCCTCTCGAGGCTTCCTCGTAGTTCACTCACACACGAAGCTGCCGCTCGAAACTTCCTCGAGATGCAGGCTCCCCCGGGGGTTACCCAACTTGTGTTTTGACGGTTTTCAGATGGCCGCGTCGGATTACCAGCATGATCTACGAGACTTCTCTAGCGGGAGCCCCATAGGGAAGGGAGGCTCCCGTTCGAGACTTCTCTCCGCAATTCGCTCACAGACGAGGCTCCTGCTCGAATCTACCCCCGTATGAGTGTATGAGTGATTGAGTGCCTGTGTGGGAGATCATACTGAAGTTGTTGATGTTGCTGCTGCTGATGATGCTGATGATGATGGCGACGCTGGTGAGGCTGAGGGGGAGGATGAGGGCGAGAATGAGGATGATGATCATGCTGATGATGATGATAAAGATGCTGATGCTGATGTTGTCGATGGATATGATGATGTTAATGATGATGTCGATGTCGATGACGATGGCGATGGTGATTATGATGATGATGCTGCGGCTGATGGTGATGGCCATGCTGATCAGAAGTCTTATAATTTTGAGGATGTTGATGATCAGGGCGATGACGCCGATGATGCTGAGTGCGATGCCCGTGTGGGCGCGTGACTGCGATGATGTCGTCGTGCGGTGATGTTGTGAGAGTGATGCATTCGTACGATACTGCTGACGATGCCGATTCTGATTCGGATGATGCTGATGATGATGAGGATGATGCTGATGGTGGTGATGATGAAGACGACGACGATGACGATGTCGATGATGAGGATGTTGATGACGATGTTTTGACGATGCTAGGTGTGGTGATGATGATTGTGATTTTGATGCTGATGCTGACGATGCCAATGAGGATGATTATGACGATGATAATGCTGCTGCTGATGATCACGATGAGGAATAGATAGACCAACGATGTGGATTTGGATCCTGACACTGATGAAGACGATGATAATGCTGATGACGATGATGGTGACGAGGATGATATTGATGATGGTATGGATGCCGATCATGGCGCTGCCGATGATTATTCTGCCGATCACGATGATGACGATGATACTGTCGATGATGATTATGCCGATGATGCTGATGATGATGCTGCCGATGCTGCTGCTGATGATGATTGTTCTGCTGATGGTGATGCTGCTGCTGATGATGATGATACTCTTGGTGATCATGATGCTGATGATGATGTTAATATCGATGACGATGACGATGGCGATGACGATAATGATGATGCTGCTGCTGATGATGATGATGACCATGGTGATGTGGTTGATAATGATGATGATGATGATGATGATGATGACGATGATGATGATGATGATGATGATGGTGATGATGATTACGATGCTGATGCTGATGCTGATGGTGACGATGGCTATGATGATGCTGCTGCTGATGATGATGACGATGCTGATGCTGATGCTGATGCTGATGATACTGACGATGATGATGGTGATGATGATGATGATGATGGTGATGTTCATGAAGGTGAACAGGCAAACCACCAGAGGGTGAGGGGGTGATGGGTGGTATGGGTGTCCCGAGCAAACGAGAAACCTACTCAGGATGTGGGGAACGATGACACAGACTCCACCATGCCTGCCGAGGCCCGTCCTTGGCCCCAGCACGTTGTACAGACCTCCCAGCCTCAGCCAGGAGGGCGCGCACACCATACTGGAGACCTGGACAGCCCTGGGCAGATGTAACGACTGTGTCTGGATGCCTTTGTGGAAAGAAGCCTGGGTCGAACAAACGAGGGCATAGCGTTGTGCAGGTCGAAGGGAAGGAGGAAAAAGAACCGGAGAAGGAGAGGATTGCCGACAACTTGCCCAGGATGACGGAGCGATCTTGTGTCCTTTTTTAGTTTTTTGTGAACCTCTGGGAACCCTTGCGGGCCTCTCTGCGGGACGTTTTGCGGCGGACCATGCTCTTCAGGACCTTAGAGTGTCCCTCGCGGCCTTTCTCTCAGCCTATCGGCTCCCCGTCTTGGGCGATCTTGGCCCATCTCGGCGGCGAGCGAGGGGGGAAGTGAAAAGGAGAAGGCCTTCTCAGAAGGCGGCGGGGCTTCTCAGAAGGCCTCGCGTCTTCTGATAGGTTTTGTGTGTCTTCGGGAAAGGCTTAGACAACTTCTCAGAATGCCGGTGGAATTCCGGGCTTCTGGCAAGGCCTTCTCCTTCTCCCTCCCCACCCTCGCTCGCCGCCGAACCTTGATGCCCAAGAGGCCCATCGAAAAACGACAAGGTTTGCCCAGGGATTCCACCTCAGGGAGCCCGTCAGGAGAAACCCAGCTCTAGATCGACCCCCCTCCTTGTGTTTTGTCAGATTCGTCCTCCTGTCCTCGGGATCGGGTGACGCCAACCGTATACTCGGCGTTGAGCGAGGGGGGAAGTGAGAAGGAGAAGGCCTTCTCAGAAGGATCGGACTTCCCAGTCCTCCAAGCCTCCAAGACTTCGTGGCGCCTCACAACATCCTTGCCACCAGGGGGGAGTGGGCCGGGACCTCCTTCGGCTGGCGGCTCAAGGACATCGTCGCCAGGCGTCCGGGTCTCTCCTTCCTGGTTTCTGAGGGAGGGTCGATGATCATCAGGGCGTGGCTTAGTTTGATGTCTGATCACCCCGTCCAGCTCCTTCATTGCTTGTGTTGTACTGATTGGTTTCGGTGGACAAGCGCCCACTGGCGCCAACACACGTTCTGAGGATCATCGGGAGGGGGCTGGGAGGGGGGAGAGAATGATGACTTTCGCACTTGGTTGGCAGCTTGATCAGGTCAAAGAGGAGTCCATGACCGCGGCATCGGTCTCCTTGTTGTTAGTCCAGCTGCACCGAACGTTGCCCTCACCCTCCCTTGCGCGAATCTTTCTTGTACGCTCCGTTCGTGTGTTTTGCATTTTTTGAACCCTGTACTTCGCACCCTCCTGCCGCCTGAGGCCCCGCCCGCCCGCGCCCTGTATCCCCAATTAATGCTTCGCACGCCCCGCCTAGCTCTTTACTGGAAGAGGCCCGCTCTCGACCCGCCGACCAAAAAAGTGTTTTGCATTTCGAATGGGTCCATCGATTATCAACTTAATTTCTTTTATTGGAGTTTTCCTCCATCCTTTCTCCCTTGTGCCAGGACTGTCCTGGCGTGAGCAGAAGGTGGATGCGCAGACTAGAACCCGTCCCTGCCCCTCCATCTCCCTCTCCTCGTCGTCGTCCTTGTTGCATGAGCGGCGCGTTGAATTGAGAAGGAGCAGTCCTTCTTAGAAGGAGGATGGGCTTCTCAGAAGCCCTCTGGCATCCTGAGAAGTGTTCAGTGTCTTCGGGGAAGGCTTTGTCCGACAACTTCTCAAACCGCCCAGGGTCTTCCGAGCCCTTGAGAAGGCCCGCCCCGCTTCACCTCCCCGCTAGGCTCGCCGCCGATGATCCGTCGAGTCTCTCCCCCCGATGAAGGATCTCCGCTCTGGACGCCCGACATGGGCACGGAAAGGATGGGTACACTGCCCAACAGCAGTTCTTGTTCATTTTGAACAGGACTCGCTGTCCACGCCGCCGCGGCCTGCATAAATCCGAGACCGAAGGCCGCCTGCCCAACAGCGGCCGCTGTTTGTTGGCGACAACAGTTGCTGTTGGGCACTGTACCCATTTTTCCCGTACCCATTTCGGGCGTCCAAATCTGCGGAGCAGCGTCCGCCCGGGGGTCGCGCCCGAACCCTGTTTACCAGCTTGAAACATATCCCTATCCTTGTGTTTGACATCACCTCACCTGGATGCCGATCTTACGGATTCCCTCGGTTTCTGATGGCCTATCCCTAAGATTGTCCTCGCTTTTTGCTCGCCCATCTTAGGGGTAGGGATACGTTCGAGGCTGGTTGCCCATCGGCCCCACGAGCCCTGAAGCTGCGGCCCGGCCCGCGGGCTCCTCCGCGGGGGTGCCCGGGCTCGGGGGCGGACGCGTCGAGCCCCCGGCGCCCAGTCGTCGCCCCTCGGAGCCCGACGCCCTCGCCCCGCCCAGGGTGGCGCGGACCCGCCACGGGCGGCTTCTCGACGGCCCCTGGCTTGCCCACTGCTCGCCAGGAGCAGGAAGCAGCGCAGCACCGCCACCGCCACCTCGGGGGGGCGCGGGATCTGTTGGCATGTTTGCCGATGCAGGTGTGCAGGATGTCCCGAGTGAGCGCCCGAAACGGTACACTTCACCACCACCGCCACCCTCGACCACCCTCTGCCTCCAACCTCCAGGTCGTGGTGGTGATGCGTTTCGGTCTTCCTATCCCCACTCTTCCAGACGAGGCGAAGGGACCTCGGTCTGTCGGTTCAGCTTTGGGCTGCGTGCCCGTGCCACAGTATATTGGTCAGCGTTGCAATCGGCACCGGCAAGCGCGTGGCCGTGGGGAGTGCCGCGCTGACGCGTGGGGCGCATGGCCGCATCTTACTCCGACTTCTATTCTCGCTGTTAGGCCCAGGGCTCTCAAGTGCCGACGCGGGCGCGCGCGGCACCAACTTTTGATAGGAGAGCCTGAGCCTCGAGCCCGATCCCAGGGAGTGCCGCGGTTATCCAGCTGCGTCAGCGCGCTTATCCGCCAACGCGCCTCGCGGGCTATCCTCTCCTGATATTCCTACTCCTCCACCTCCTCCACCTCCTCCTCCTTCTCCTCCTCCTTTCCTTCCTACGTTCTCGCTCCGTCTCCCATTTCCGCTTCTTCTCCGCCTCCTATCTATTCTCATCCCCCGATATTTCTCTTCCCTCCTTCTAATTGCCCCTCCTCATGCGTCCCTCGGGGAGGAGCAGGGAGAAATAAGATGAGGAGGACAAGGACGATGAGGAGGAGGAGAAGGAGGAGGAGGAGGAGGAAGAACAGGAGGCGGAGGAGGAGGAGATGCAGGAGGAGAAGGAGCAGGAGGAGGAGGAGGAGGAGGAGGAGGAGGAGGAGGAGGAGGAGGGGGAGGAAGAGGAGGATGAGGAAGAGGAGGAGGAGGAGGAGGAGGAGGAGGACGGGGGCGTAGGTATAGCATTTCTTGGTTCAAGGCGGGAAACACTCCCGTCGCGCCTTGATCTCATCTGCATGCTCTCTCGGCCTTGCGTCCGCTGCGCAAATGCCTCAACTTGGCATCGCGGGGTGCGCGCCACCGTGGCGTAGGTTGCGCATCTCTGCGTGCACGGGCGTCCGATTCCGGCGGTGCGAGGCCGAGCGGAGAGACAGATTGTTTTGTATTTTCTTCTCTGACTTCGACTGTACGAAGGCCTCCATGCCCGCGATGTCAGCCCCCGCCACTTCCAAGGACAATTCCTCTCTCTCTTGAGTTTGAAGAGTCCCCTCTCGTTCCCAAACTTCCCCAATTGGCACCGTCGCAGCCCTCTCCAGAAGGCCTACAGCAGGCGAGCAGTGCGACCACGGCGGGGCATGCGTTCTTCGCTTTTTGGCACCGGCGTGTCGTCTCCGGCAGCCTGCTGGTGGCCACGGCTTCAAAATCGGTTGCAACTCTGGTTGAGCCCAGCAGCAGGGCCATGGAGGGTTTCTCCGAAGGGTTTGGGCGACCCGTCCTCCTCCTCCTCCTCCTCCTTTTCCCTCCTCCTCCTCCTCCTCCGTCTCCTCCTCCATCTCCTCCTCCATCTCCTCCTCCCCCTCCCCCTTCCCCTCGAGGCCGACCTCGCCGCCAAGGCTTCCGCCCGCGCCACATCGACGTGTGGTGGGGCGGGGGCGGGGGGTCGGGCAGGCATCCTCCGGGCCTTTGGCCTGGGGGCTGGCGATTTTTTGGCTGCGCGTGAGATGGGTCGCCGAGAAATCCGGCGCTCAGCCGACGCCCCCGAGGATCCCAGTTCGGACGAGGGGTCCTTGTTCGGGGGCTAGTTTTGCCGCACCGCCTTTAGGGCCAACCCGTGCCATACCATACCTCCTCCTCCTCCTCCTTCTCCTCCTCCTCCTCCTCCTCTTCCTCTTCCTCCTCGGGTCGCCTACGGCCCCAGGGGAAGCCGTGCACATGGCCAATGCCGCTCGTGGTCAGCTCGGCATCGCCAGGGGTCGCTACAGGTGCTGCCACGGCCGTCACGCCCGGCTGCCCCGAGTCCACTCGGCACAGCCAAGGGCTCCACCCGGGCACGTGGGGCCGGAGCCACCACGTGAGAGGGCATCGAGGGCAGCGCTTGCTCTCGCGGGCCGGCGGAGGGCTCGAAGGAAGGCAGGCGCTGGTCTCGAGGCAGGAGGCCCTCGCCCCGAACCGCGCGAGCTGTGTGACGACCAGGCGGCAGCATTTCCCGTGCCCACCTCCCTCACTTGCGCACAGTGCTTACGTCGGCGGCGAGGCAGGTGCTGCACCCAGCGAGCGGCGCTCCGGGGCGACCGATCCACGACTTGGCTGGCGCGCAGGAGGGGGAAAGAGGGTGACGAGGCGGCCGCGGAGGACAGGAGGAGGGGGAGGGTTTTCAGATGCGGAAGAATTCGTGGTCGAGCTGATTGCGCACACACGCCGGGCCACGATGCCCTGCCTCTTCCTGGCCGCCTCCCTCTCTGGCGCAGCCCGACTCCGGAAGCCGCTCTGGCGTGCAGCCGGGGCGGTGTGGCATGCAGCCAGGGCGCCGAGGCAGGGAGCCAGGCTCGGGTTCGAGAGGCGTTCGCCGCTCTTGCGGTCCTGTGCATGGCTGTTCCTCCCTTGCGCCCCTCGTGCACCCAGCCAAGGGAGGAAGACAAGTTCAATACCCCGACCCCTATAAAGAAGCGTCTGCGAAACGGCCCAGGGCGTTTACGACACAGTCCTGCCCTGTTCGAGTCCGTCCTTGGGCGCGCTTGCCGAATGGCTTTGCTTGTCGGGGTGTTTATTCTGAGGGTGGATGTGTGGCTCCCTACCCCGGGTCCAAGGAACGGCCGCCCTAGATTTCAGTCGGGCCTGTCCCTCTACATGGGGGAATCTTCAAAAATAGAAAAAATTAGTCTGGGGACGATCTTTTGACAGTCTGTCCCCTTTGGTGAGGCATTTTCTGGGCATTTTTTCATTCTTCGCCCCAAAATCCCCCTGTATGGGGGACACGCCCGAAAGAACCCTGGATCCTGGTCCAACGCTCTATCTTTCTGGCAGCAGCTGGGCCGTCCTCGAGAGACGCGGTTTTCTTAATATTTTTAATTCTTCGCCCAAAATCCCCCTGTAGGGGGACACGCCCGACTTCACCCTGGACCCTTGTCCAACGTTCTACCTGTCTGGCAGCTGCTGGGCCGTCTTCGAGAGGCGCGGTGCCGGAGCGAAGCCGTGGAGCGACGGCCCCCGCGACGAGCGCGCCTGCCGCTGCCGGCCTGCCCCCCCCGTGAGCCCGCCGGCGGCCGCCGCTCGGTGGCTCTCGGGACGCGCGTCAGCCCCAACGTGTGACTGTCCATCGAGGAGGAGGAGGAGGAGGAGGAGGAGGAGGAGGAGGAGGAGGAGAAGGATAGGGGAGGAGGAAGAGGAGGAGGAGGAGGAGGAACCGGCCAGTTCAGAGCGATCTTTCGATCGAGTAGCCGCCCAAGACCCAGGCGATGGAATGATCTTGAAGCAGTGGCGAAGCGTTCTGGCTCGCCTATAGCCCTACCAAACAGTGTGCTAAGAACCTAGTGTGGTTTGCGCGAAGTGTTCGTAGGACAGTTCTGGCTGGGACTGTCTTGTTTGACACATTGGTTTCGTGTTCAAAAAAAGGTGTTTTAATTATTAGACCATTTTTGGGGCTCTAAGGACATTACGCGGTAGGCCTACAGGAGTGCCGGGGCGGTCGGTCCCTGCTCAAGTAATGATCGATTGATTGGGCTGATGTGTGTTTACCCCTCTCAGCCCAATCAGCAGGTCACTACAGCGCCTGAGTTTTGGTTTTTGCTTTACTATTTTGTATGTTTCGCCGAAGCGCCGTCTGCAGGGGGACGTGTCCGACCCAACAGCGGCCGAGGGTCTGGCTCGCTCGGGCCGCCCGCGGCGGGCGCGGCGGCGGATGTCTGCTTCCACCGGGGTGGGGGGAGCGGCCCCTCGCGGGTTGGGCCGTGCGCCGAGGATCGACGGCTTTGCTGTGCCCGTGGTTTTTGTTCCCCTCCCGAGGCAGCTCCACCAGCAGGCTTATGATGCTCCAACCTGCTCTAGCCTTGACCACCAGCAAGAAGTTCGAGCACCAGGAGAGTACCGCAATCGGAGTGTGTGTTTCACGCGTCGGGCTCCGGGAGACGCTCGGCCGACGCTGTCTCGACACTGGTTCGACATGCTTTCGACGCTTTTCCGGGTGCTCGAAATCATTTCTGGGATGTGGTCCCAAATCGGGGGCCCCCAAACGGGGCGGTGACCACACCGTGCGGTGAGTCGGTGGGGATTCGGGGTCACCGCACGGTTTTGGGACTCGGCTCTTTCTCCGAGGACGTCTCGGGCGACAGGAGCCTCCAGGTCCCCAAGACCGCGAGGTGACGGACCGTGAGGTGAGGTCTTGGGGAAATTTGGAGGTCACCGCACGGTGTGGCACCGCACCGTTTCGGGACTCCAAATTTAAGTGCGATTGGAGCAACATGAGCAGCCCAATCGTTGGTGAGAGTAAACCTATGGTCCGAACTTGTCGCGAATGGGTGTTGCAAGAATCGTTATTGAAGGATCAAGCGCGCCGGCTGAGCGTACTGGGATCTGGCCCTGGAAACGAAGCTGCCCCCCAAGCGACCTCCAATCCTCGAGTGCGATGGGAGCAACGGGGGGGCCAGGGACGTAATGAAATAAGAAGAGGCGCCATGAAAGCTGGGGAAATATCATGGCCCACGCCATGATATCCGCCCCCTCCTAGTCATCACCCCCCTCTTTGCCGCCCCCGACCTCGAGTGCGATGGGAGCAGCATTGCAGCAGGCGACGGGGCTGGCTCGCCCCGGGCGCCCCGCGGCGGGCGCGGCGGCGGATATATCTCTGCTTCCGCGGGGCGGTGGGCCGAGGGGCGGCCACGCGCCGGGGGGGGGGAGGGGAAGACGGGGGGAGGGGTGAGGTCGGGCCTGCCCCATCGACTGGAGGAGTGCTCAAGAATCTGCACGCACGAAATGGGCACGGAAAGAATGGGTACACAATGCCCAACAGCAGTTCCTGTTCATTCTGAAAAGGACTCGCTGTCCGTGTCGCCGCGGCCTGTACCCATTGGAGACAGAAGGCCGCCTGCCCAACCGCGGCCGCTGTTGGTTTGGGACAACATTTGTTGTTGGGCACTGTACCCATTTTTTCCGTACCCATTCTGGGCGTCTAAAAAATCGGGCCTGCCCCATCGACAGTAGGAGTGTTCAAGAACAGTCAACAAAAAAGCCTGGGAGCGATAAAGAGTTCACTGCTCTGGGCCATCTGGGGGCGTTTCTTCACCACTGGTTATTTCCACGTGTTTTCTGAGTGCGCGGGACTATTATGAGCCTTTGTTTTGTTTTGTTTTGTTTTTCTTGTTGTATGTATCCTCCAACACCCGCCCGTGGGGGGACACGCCCGACCCGAGGGTACGGGGCCGCAGGCGGGCCCACGGCGGTGCAGGCAAGGGCCACGTGTCGGCTGCGGCGGCGTGGGAGCGCGTGGCAGAGCGCTGGTATATACAGGACGCCACCGTGCTCCTCCTCCTCCTCCTCCTCCTCCTCCTCCTCCTCCTCCTCCTCCTACGTACGCCCAGCGACTGCGCACCTGCCTTACGCACGCAGGCCGAATGTGGCCTCCCAGAGTTTGACATGCCCAATCTGGCGGCAGACCCAAGCAGATGCAGTTGTGTGCAACTCGGGGGTGGGCAGAGCCCCCGCCCGATCAGGGATGGACCGACACGGTGTTTTGGCGATTTCGTGGGCAGTTTTCGTTCCGATTTCGCTGTGCGGTAAAGGCGAGCCGAAGACAACAAACGAGGGACAACGAAGATATGACGAAAACGAAGAACACCGTTTAGGTTCAGCCCTGACGTCGATTAGTGAATGCCCGTTTTCGGTTCTCGAGAGCGCGCCGCGGTCGTCATTTTCCAGGCTTGCGCCCGCCGGGTTTGGGCCGAGGTCGTTTTCACTAAATCACGTTCTGCCAAAGGGGGGTTCTGTCCATCCCGGAAGTTCGGAGCGTCGTGTTCGCTCGGTGCGTCCGCGGTTTGGAGATGTAGGAAAGTGTGGTTCGTGATGTCCTACCAGCTGGTTCCCAACGTCATTGTGAAGCGACGCCGCCGTTTGCCCGGCCTTGGTAGGGCGGGGGGGGGAAGGCTTCTCTGAAGCACCCCTGCTTCTCGGAAGGCGTGGGCCTCATCTATCGATGTAGGGCCGGCGCCGCTCAGGGGCTCACGGGCGTCCGGGAGCTTCCACACATGTAAGATGTTCCGCATGTCGGACCCGAGGCAGCCAGAAACGACGTCGAATCTGAATATCGTGCGGGCTCCTTCGCACCCCCTGCACAGCAGCTTGGGCGCTGGGGCAAGGGGCACCTCTCCCCGCGCTCGGCTCGCGGCCCTGTCTCGAGACCCCCCCTCACCCCGGGTTCGCGTCTAGAATTCGCGGGCTCTGTAGAACACGCGGTTGATCAGGCCGCTCTTCCAGAATGCCTGGGTAGGTACGGAAGGCAAACAAGTTGCACAGGACTGCGTGGTCTGGGCGGACAGCTCGGACCGGCGCTGGGGTTTCCCCCTGGAGGGGGCTCCGGCACCGAGGGTTTATGCTTGTGTAGTTTGTTCGGCCTTCCAGGTAGGGACCTACTTCAGCTACAAGGCGGTAGCGTCGTAGTTGCTCGCTCGCTTCCGAATATTTCGGCAGCGGTATCCTTTTTCTCTCCTGCCGTTTCAAGTCTCCCCAGATCTGCTGCACATTGTGGGAAAGGGGGCCAGATCTGGGCGGTGTCGCAGCTTGCGCTTGGCTGCGCGACGCAGGTGGCTTGTCGTCGGCGGGAAACAACCTGCACGGCCTCGGGGTCCAGCCTCCTCGGCCGCGGCCCCATGGATACAGGGCGGCTTGGCGCGATGCCCCGCGCAGATTGTACCGGTATCAGTGGGATCGCGCTTCGCTTTCCAGGTTTCCGGGCATCGAAGCCATGGATGTGTCGGGGCTCAAGAGACGGGGGTCAATACAGACGGGGGTCAGCCAGGGCGCCGTATCTCGCAGGATCCTGCAAAGCCAGGGGCGCACTGACCCGGGCTTGGGTGCAGGATCCTCTTGGATCTTGCAGGATCCTGCACGGCCCGACTGACAGGTGTCTGGATTGACCCGGGTCAGCATGTCCCCGAGATGTGTCCATCTTCGGCGAGTTCTTTTGTATCTTCCGTGTTCTGTATGGTGCGTCAGACAGGCGTTCCTTTGTTTTGTCTTCTGGCTACATCTGAATCCTGCCTCCCGCTGATCCCATTCATTTCTCCTCCCTCCAGGTTGGCGAGGCATTGCGGGGCGGAGGTTGAAGGCACGTATAGGATCATCATCGTGTGGCGAAGGCCAGATCGGTTCCTTGTGGTCCTCCTCTTCCTCCCCCCATTGACCCCTCTCGCCCCCCCTTCCCTTCTTCTCCCTCTCCCTCTTCCCTTCTTCCTCCCCCCACCCCCTTCCCCCCTCTTCCCTTCCCCTAATCTCCACCCTGTTCCTCGTTTTTGTTTATCTCGTGGTGACTGGGCGCCAGCAGACCACGGGGGCCGACATCGCGAAACAACTATCCCTCCCTCCTCATCCACCCCCCCGCGCGCGGGAGGAGGAGGGATGACGAGGAAGGCGGCGGAGCAGGAGGCTGCGCCCCCTCCCTGCTTCTGAAGCCCATTTTTGTCTGGGATCGTCTTCATCCACGCGCGATGGTGTCGGTCGGCCTTTAGAGGCGCAAGGCCGTCCTGCCAGACACCAGTTCAATGCATGCTCCCACGGCGGACGCTACTGCACTGCGGGACGTATCGTGCCTCAGGGCTTCTCATACCACGGTGCATGCATGCCTTCACCGCAGTCTACTTGCACAGAAGGTGATGATTGCAGCCGACAACCTACTGCTTCCAGTGCCGTCGTCGTCGTCGTCGTCGTCGTCGTCGTCGCCCTCGTCGTCGTCCGCCTCCTCCCTCTCCTTCTCGCTTCGCTCCTGCAGCCGTTTTGCCTCCGGCCCGCAGCCTGGGCCTCCGGACACTGGCGCGCCGCACCGGTGCCCAGGCCTCCCGACCGCGTGGCGTGGGCCCACGCCCGCAGGCCCCAGGGGGCCCACGGACTGGGGCTCTCACCTCTCGCACCCCGGCGCGGGCGCCCGAGGCTGGACGCCACGCCATTGGTCAGGCATCGTTTAGCCGACCCCCAGCCCCGTCTTCGTGCCCCTCGAGACCCCCACCAAGGTACCACCCCAGTTGGGGATACACCCCTCGGAGCCCGAAGGGGACGGCCTAATATGCCCATCGAGGGGGGTAAGTCGGCCAGTGGGGCCCAGGCCACGCCGCTGGGGACGGGGATCGGAGAAACGATACTCAACTGGGGCCCGGTATCCGCCGACACCGCAAGACCTCAGACTGGGGAAACGTCGAGGCTCGAGGAAACGCCGGGATCTCGGGGTCTGCTGGCGCGTTTTGACGAGCGCGCCCTGAAGCTTGACGGTGCAGTTTCCCGTGGGGTGCCTGCAGCGGGAGCCCGCGTCATATTTCAGACTCGGTCGCGCCATTTTCTTGATGGCCCGTCGGGCCAACCCGAGTCCCCTCGACCCGATTCTTACGTCTCCCCGATCAGAGGAGGGAAAGGTACCCATACCGCTACCCTTTGCCCGTTCTTCCCTCTTTGGGCCTCCTGGGAGGCCCTCGTCGCCATTGCTGGATTTGCCTCGAAGTCCTGGTCAAAGCGCACCCCGGGAGAGGTCCGGGGAGTAGCGGCTGACGGCGAGCCGCGATCCAGCAGGGGCGGAGCGATCTGCACGCGGTGCCAGAAGCCGGCGTTCTGGCCTCACGAGGCGGACCTGCCGTGCGTATTTTTTGCCGTTGTGGCGCCCGGACGTCTGGGCCCAGCCAGGCCGCCCCGATCGCGCCAGAGCAGATGGGGGCCGGAGCCGCACTCCTCCATAGGAGGAGGAGGAGGAGGAGGAGGAGGAGGAGGAGGAGGAGGAGGAGGAGGAGGAGGAGGAGGAAGCCAGGACTGTGCACACCGGGCCCTTGCAAGATCCATTCGCGCTAGAGCGGAGCAGGCCTCGACCCGCAGCTATCTGTGGCTGATCCAGGCCCCCGCTCGCGAGGCCCAGGTCCTGGCGTCGCGGGAAGCATCGGCGCTGCAGTAAGATCTTCTGGCCCCCATGTGCTCTGGCGGCCCTGCAGCCGACCCGCATAGTAAGGAAGGGCAACCTTCCCAAGGGCACCCCTGCAGCCTTGCCTCCTCGGTCCACCCCTGGCCACTTCCGTTGGCGCCGCGCCCCGCTCGAGAAGCTTCGAATTGGGCGTCCAGGGCCCTGGCATCCTCAGCGCGCATCCTTCTGCTGCGGGCCGAATCTACCCGGGCGGCCTTCCGATGCGAGCGCCACCCGCGGCCATGGCCCTCTCGCGGGCATCGGTCTTGGCCGCCTCGGCGGTGCTGTGCACGGCGGCGGCCGAGGCGGCCGTGTCCTCGCGCGGCGGAGGCTTCCTGCAGTCCACCACCGCCCCGGTGCAGGTCCAGGCCGCCCAACCGGGGCCCGAGTGGAGGGGGCGGAGGATCACGCCGCATCGCCGCCCATAAGCATACACTTTTTGGCGCTCCGCGCGGACTTCTTGGATCCGCGCTGGGCCCCCCTGGCGGCGCCTCCGGCGCCGCCCCCGGCGCGCTCCGCGCGCCAGGGAGTTGGGTCCAGCGCGGATCCAAGAAATCCGCTCGGAGCGCCAGAAGTTTGTGCTTATACAGTTTTTTATTCTTCTAGATCACGCCGCATCGCCGATACATCAGCGATGCGGGTCGATGCGAAACCATTCCTGATGTCGCCGATGCCTCGGCGATGCATCATCGATGCATCGAGATCTTCCGACTCCATCTGCCCGGACCCCGTTCTGGGCGGCCTCCAGTAGGGCAGCCCGCGGAGCCTGGCGTGGACTGCGGCGAGGTGCCCAGACATCACTCGCTCCAATGGCTATGATGTTCCAACCTACTTTAGCCTTGATCACCAGAAAGAATTTCGAGCACCCAAAGTACCGAAACTCGAGGGTTTTCACGTGTCGGGCCCTGGGAGACACTCGTCCAGCACTGTGGCGACACTGCTTCGACACTTTTCTGGGTGCTAGAGATTATTTCTGTGATGTGGTTCTCAAGTGCGATCGGGAGCAACATACTTCAAGGGTCGAGGATCGTTTTTGTCTGTTCTCTCTTCCTCCCTGGCCGTCCGTGGACCTCCTCGACGGGGCCCCGGCGCCACGGCTGGGTTCGTTCGCCGCGGGGCGCTGGGGCAGAGCTCCGGGGGAGCAGCGCGGCAGTGGCGGGGTGTCTTTCGGGTGCTGCCAGAGGTGCCCCGGGCCCCCGGGGTGCCCCCAGGCGTTCCGAGGAGGCCACCGACCAGGGCCTCCAGAGCGCCCCCCGCGAGGCCCAGAGGGCCCCCGCGGGCTCCAAGACCCCGCTGGGGGCACCTTGGGCCAGGGGGACCTTTGGCAACCCCCGAGTCCTCGTGCCCCCTGGGAACGTCGAGGGCGGCCAGTCTTGCTTGCCAAGCCCTGGGGCCTCTGCAGGCGCGATTTTGTCGAGCCGCGGGTCCTGCAGAAGAGCGGCCGGGGGCGTTGGAGTTATCAGGGGCCCACAGCGTTGAGTAGCAAAGCGGCGACGGCTGGGGCCCAGGATGCTTTGCTCAGCCACTCGCAGGGGGGGATGGAGGGACGGGGAAGGCTTTTTAGAAGCAGCCCTGAGTCTTACTAGGCGCGGTCCGATCTATAGATGTAGTCAGGCCGGCGCCTTCTAAGAAGCAGTTTTCTTGCAAGACGCCTTACCCCCCCCGCGGTGGCGCGCCTGGGAGTGCGGCAGAGTGGCGTCGTGTCGACGCAACAGCGACTCCAGCGCGGGAGTCGAAGCTCGGGCGCCGCAGGTGGCCCGGAAGCGGCCGCCATCGAAGGGTCCGCGCTGTGGGGACGCCGCGATCACGCGGGTCTGAGCGATCCACGCGGTGTCGGACACCCGCGCGCCAGCCGTCACGCTCGGTTGGGCGGGGTCGGGGTGGGGCGGCTCGAGAGGGGAGAGGGGGAGGGTCCATGAAGCCCCTCCTCCCCAGGGCCCTGTATTTAGAACCATTCTCGTGGAGGCCTGGAAGTGGGCACTAACACCAACACAGGGGATGGCCTCCATCATGGGAACATGACCCAGGTTGATGGCGTTGGTGGTAATCTTTCGACCATCTCGTAGCCCGAACATTTCCACCATCGCCGAGGTCGGGATCGTCGTCCCTCGGTTGTGGCACACCGCCGACATTGGTGCTCGCGTCAGCCTCTGGGCCTCCAATGTTCCGCCTGGAAGGCAAAAGTCGCGGGGACTTGACCTCAACGGTGCACACATCTTGGGCGCGATGCGCCGGGGGCGCCTCATCTGCCACCGCGCTTGCAGCGGTTGGTGTGCGTCGGGTTCTTCCGTTCTTGCGGAGCGATGCTCCAGGGCCCCCCCCGACGCATGGAGCCACAGATGCGTCCGTGTTTGCGGCCGAGCCCCTGCGTCTTTGGCCTCCCAGCCAGACAGTGGCCCAGAAAGGCCAAGCTTGGGGACGGGTGGGTCCATCTACAATTACTCAATATGAATACTACTCTCCCTCTTCCCCCGATGGCGGCCTGAAAGTAGTAGACCCCCCCCCGCGTACTGTTTTTTACACAGGATTCCCGGGAGTTGGGCTTTCGCCTGCGTTTTTTTCAAAATGCTGCTCTCGCTGGGGCGCCGGCCTCATTTCTGCTCCCGAATCGTTCCGAATCGTGCTCCCGCTGCAGCGTGGGCCTCATTTTCGGATCGGTGTTTGGCCTCCGTCGTTCAGGATGGCGTTCTCGCCCCAGCGCGGGCCTCTTTCTCGCGCCCCATCCGCCCGCCACCACCGCGCCGCACCACCACCACCACCACCACCACCACCACCACCACCACCACCACCACCACCACCACCACCACCACCACCACCACACCACCACGCACACACGCACGCACGCGCACGCACCACCACACTACGCACGCGCGCGCGGAGCCACAGGTCCGCTACGACACGCGAGCGGATAGAGAAAATCAGCGCCATGGTAAGGGATGGGAGGGAGGGGTAGGACGTCAGATCTGACGCGAGCGCACCTAGCTTGGCCCTCCCCCCTCCCCCCCCCGAGGCGCGCCCTACAGGCGGCCCGGATTAGCAGGTCGACCCTGCCAGATCAAGGGTACTCTTGTGTCCTGTGTCTCGCGATTCATGCTTCCTGCATTCCTGTGGCAATGTGGCCCTCGGAAGGGTCTTGTGCCCTCTCGCGTGTCCTGTCCAACTGAGTCCGACTGTGCCCCCCGCCTGCCCGAGCGCGGTGCTGGAATCGCTCGGCGGCGCAGGTAGATTCCTGCCCCGCATGAGGGAAGCGAGAGGGCCCCTTGCACGCCACCTTCTGCGGGCGCGGTGGCGGACAGATTGAGCTCTCAACGTCGAGGCCGCCCACCCCCCCTCCCCGTGAACCCCGTCCAGTTCGGGCGTTGCCAGAAGTGGCCCCCCAAGGAGGCCGCAGCCTTCGTCGGGGGGGGGGCACCGCGGGGGCTTCCGAGGCGCCCCCCGCGGAACCCAGACGCAGACCCCCGACTCCCCGACGCCATTCTTTTCTCGGCGGCGCGCCCGCCAGGGGGAGAAGCGAGAAGGGGCGGGCCTGCTCTGAAGGCTCGGAAGTCCCCCGGCCTTCTGAGTTCTGAGCCTGCCCCGAAGCAGAGAGCACCTCTCCGAAAGGCGCGAGAGCTTCTGAGAAGTCCCGCCGCCTTCCGAGAAGGCCTTCTGCTTCTGACTTCCCCCACCCCTCGCTCGCCGCCGACTTTTTCGCACGGCGCGGAACGCCTGGAAGACTGGGCCCCTTCCCGCGAGGACCGCCTTGGCATTCGGTCCTACAGTCCACCCGCTACAGTAAGGATGGGCAACCTTTCCAAGGGTACCCTTGCATCCTTGCCTCCTCGGTCCATCCCTGGCCGCTTCTGCCGGCCGCGGCCCGCCCGCGAAGTGTCGACACGGTCTTCCAAGGCCCTTGCATCCTCGTCATCGCGCGTCTTTCTTACACCCCGCATCGAACAAAAACATACATCGTCTAACCACGTCGACGTCGCGGATGCGTCGCCCATGCACTGGGGATGCGGCGCGATCTTCCGACGCCATCTACTCGGACCCCATACAGGAGGCCTTTACAGTAGAGACCCATGCCAAGAGACGCCTTGCTTGCCTCTAGGGTGCCCTTGACTTCTTTGGTCTCGATGGTTCTGTCATGGAGAGCGTGACGTTCCCACACCAAAAGTCCGTGGACGTCCTGGGGCCTCAGGGTTGGGTCTCTTGTGGCAGGTTTCTTGTGGTCGGCCCCCTACTTCATTGCCCCCCTCCCTTGGCGGGGGATGGACTCGCCTCTCCTCATCCTCCTCATCCTCCTCCTCCTGCTCCTCCTCCTCCTCCTCTCCCTCCTCCTCCTCCTCCTCCTCCTCCTCCTCGTCCTCCTCCTCCTCCTCCTCCCGCCTCCTCTTCCTCCTCTTCCTCCTCCTCTTCCTCCTCCTCCTGTCAGGGTTGGGCCTCTCGTGGAAGATCTCTTGGTGGTCGGGCCCCTGCTGTATTGACGGCCCCCCCCTGGGCCGGGCGAGGGCCACCCGAGGCCGACCACTACTGCCAGGCTGACATCGGGCCTGTCCCTCCACAGGGGGGCAAAGCTAAAGATAGGCAGAACATAGTCTGGGGACAATTTGTTGCAGAAATATTTTGTGACGATCTCCGACAGTCTGTGAGTATGTTCCATCCTTCGCCCAGCATCCGCCTGTATGGGGGACATGCTCGACCTAACGTTTGGGCCCCTCGGGCCCCCGCTTGGGCCCGTCCCGGGCCATCTTGGGCCGTTTTGGAGGCCTCTTGGGCCGTCGTCGAGCCTCTTTGGGTCATCCCGGGGCCCTTTTGGAGGCCCCTGGGGCTATCTTGAGGCGATTTTGGGAGCGTCTTGGGCCCTCTTGGAGCGTCTGGAAGCCCTCGTGGTCCCGGGGCCATCTTGGGCCGTTTTGGACGCCTCTTGGGTCGCATTGGGGCCCTTCGGGCCGTCTTGGGGCCTTCTTGGACGCTTCTTGTGCCATCATAGGCCGACTTTTGGGGCGTCTTGGGCCGTCTTGGAGCGTCGGGAAGCCAAACAGGGAAAAACTACAGAATTGTTGACGCTTCGCGAATCCCCACCAACGGACTCGGTTGCTCAGGTACACGTCTTGTCACTGTGTGGGCCGTGCCTCATGGCAGGCATCGAATTCCTCGACATTTTGTCCTGTGCATGTGCTCGAGCTTCCCAGGATGCCCCCCGCCGTCAGTCCCCCCGCTGCCTCGCGGCCGCTTTGTGAGTGGGCCGGCCGGCTAGTGCGCCTCTTGTAGCTAATTAGGCTTGCCCTTTGGCCCGGACACCCTGCCCGCCGCCTGCCTCTTCGTTCGTGGCCGCGCCCGAAAAATGAATCCCCACCAACTGACGACTTCGATCGATCGGTCCAAGACACCCAGGATGGCTTCCAGACGGCCGCAGCGCTTCCAACACGGCCAGGAAAGCTTTCAAGAGGCGTCGCCAAATGGCCCCAAGAAGTTGATTGTCCATTCGGTTTGTTTCAGCAATCCCACCAGCCCTCTGGGCGTCGGTGGTTTAGAGCGTTTCCTCTTCCACCCCTCCTTCTTCCCCTTCGGGGAGGGAATTACCCCTCCCCCTACCCCTCCCCATGGACCTGGACGGGGGGGGTCGCGAGTCGTCGGAGCGTCCAAAACGGCCTCGGCGAGGAAGCCAAAACCATTGGTTTTACTATGGTTTTGGCCTCATTTTGGCCTCCGACTAAAATTCGTACCCCCCCTTCCTGTGATCGATCTTACCCAAGGTGGCCCAAAGATGGCCCCCAAGGCTCCCAAGGGTGCCCCAAGAGGGCCCCAAGAGGTGGCCAGGAAGCTCCAAGAGGCCCCCAGGATGCCCCCAAGAGGCTCCCAAGAGACCCCCAAGAGGCCCCAAGAGACCCGCCAGAGGCACACAAGATGCTCCAAGAGGCCTCGGCGAGAATGCCAAATCATTGATTCTACAAAAAAGTTGTTCAGCCACGTGTGGGCCTCTTGGGGGGGGCACTGATTGAGATGACTCCAAGAGCGCCTGGGAGAGCCCAAGATGACCTCCAAGATGGCTCTAGATATCCAAAGATGTCTCATAATGGCTTCCTCTGTGTGCTGCCCACTTCCCTGATCGAGGCAATTCCTCTGGGCATCGTTTCTGGATGGGTTGGTGGGGATTCGCGAAGCGTTATATTTTTTTTGGGGGGTTGTCCAACCCCCGGTCCCGATCTGTTTCTTGCGGGTACTTCGTCGTCTCGGAGCCACTTTTGACGGCCACGTGGCTTAACAACCATGGCCCCAGGGGCCGGGGCCGAGGAAAAACACCCACCTGGTACAACACATATCGTCCGAGATCTAGGAGCCCCGCGCCAGGTCTGGCACCGATATGAGAAATCCGCGCGGGCCCCTTCGAGAGGGTGCGCTTCTGGCTCGTGCAGTTTAGTCTTCCTCGGCCGATTCGCCCCTCTCAAACCCTGAACCCTTTCCTCAGAGGCGGCCGGGGGACTGGTTGGGACTTCAGAGAATCGGTCAGGAGCGGGGATGAGGCCAAGTCCGCTCAAGATCGATCCCCAGACCCTTCCCGGGGTCCATCTGATGTAGTGTTCCGCTATCCCGATGGCTGGGGACAGTACTGGGTCATCTCATAGTCCAAACCTTTTTCTCTTTTTAATCACAGGAAGGAGGCACCATCCGCGTTTACTGTGCATCGAGGATCGAGTAAGAGCTCTGTACTATCCTCTGCTTCTTCCCGCTCCTGTCCTATCTCTCTCGTCGCCCCTCTTTCCTAGGTGCTACATCCCCGAGTGCGGCTGCCCCCCGTACACCGGGGCGCAGATCCCCTGCAGCGAGGTCAACGCGCCGATGGGCTCCGACTGGTGCCAGGACTCCTCATCCTCCTCCTCCTCCTCCTCATCCTCATCCTCATCCTCATCCTCCCCCTCCTCCTCTGAGCACCGGTGGGCCACCTGGAGGCGTCGGCGGACGTTCTTTCCGTTGCGCCAACGTGCCAGCATCACCCAACCAGTACCGACGGTGTGAAGCGTCGCGTCTTCTCACAGCGATTTGGTCGGACGAAGAGTCAAAGCGTTCGAACAGCATCGAGCTCGAACTCACGTCCCTTGCACACCACCGGCGCGGGAAGTGCGAAACAGATCAGATCTTCGGTGCACCGTCTCTTGTTTCGAAGAAGTGGGGCCAGCACTGCACGATGTTTCGGACGCCCGCGCAGATGTCTCTGCTCTTCGCCGGGCCCCCCAGTCGACGCTTCTGGCGCCGCCCCTGGCGTTGTCGCGTCTGGGGAGGGTCCAGCGCCGACCCAAGAGGGTTTGACGCGCGCCTCCGACAGTTTGTGTTTGCGTGCGCGTGTGTGCGTGTGCAAGGGCGCTCTCGGGGGCGCGCAGTCATTTGCGCTTCGCGGTTCGGCTCCGCCTCATCCTCCTTTTCTCCCCTGGGAGGCGGCGCGAGAGCGCGAAGTTGTTCGCACTTCGCGCTTCGCGCAGCGCGAAGCGCGAAGTTGGGAGCCCTTGTTTATGTTTGCGTGCGTGTGTTTGTGTGTGTGTGTCTTTCTATCCTCATCCTCGTCGCTGGAGGGTTGGAGACAGCTGTAACAAGCTGGGTATCCTCGCGCACGTATGCAGGATGGTTCTTCGACTCTAAACTGGTCCCGGAGTTTCTGCTCCGTTTTGACGTTGGCATCAGCTCCAGAGGTGTGCTTCGTCGCCACTTCCCCTCGCTTCGTTCAGGGACAACCGTCGGGGGGGTAGCCTCAGGCAGGGGGTGCATCGACCCCGAATCGCCTACGTGTCGTCGACTGGGACCAGATGGTTCCCCCCGCTCAGGAACGTTCAGAACTTCTATCGGGGGTATATTGGCGATCTACCCCCAATATATCTCCGATTCGAGGTGAGCGACGCAGGAACACTGGATCGATTGCGCGGACACTCGCGCACAAGCTGCCCCGCGTGCGGTTGCGCGCAGGCGCCCTCGTCTCCTTTGCAGAGCGTCACGCTGGCAGCCCGCATTAGCCACTGCGCAAGGTTCGCTACGCTGTCGTGCTTGATAGCCGTGTCTTCGGTGGTAAATCATGCAAGCCTGGTGTACCTTTTTAATTCCGTGTCCAGCGTCGACTAGCGTCGACTAGCGTTTGGAGTCGATGACAGCGCCGATTTAGCGTCGGTTGGCGTCGATTAGCGCCGATTGAGCGTCGATGTAGCGTCGATGTAGCGTCGACTAGTGTCGATTCGCAAGAGCCGACAAGATGGTATGAGAGGCTCCCATGAGTTGCCATCGAACGTTTCTTTTCGTCGCTCATGTGATTGTTCCCCCCCCCCGATCCGCCCCCCCCCCCCCTGCCGTTGCCTCTCGCTCGCGCGGAGGCCCATGCCCGCTTGCCAGCAGCTCCATCCTCCTCCAGGGGGGAGGGGTCCTTAAGGACTTGACGACGTTTCGCCAATCTTTTTGTGAGGCTCGAGCCAGATCAATACAGGCACATGCAGATGAATCGAAGCAAATCCAGGTACATCCGGATAAGCATCCAGGTCAACCCAGAGATCTCCAGGGAACGTTGCAGCTAATTTCAATCAGACGAAGTATAAATCCAGGTCGACCTGGGCAAGTCCAGGTAAAAACACAGACCTCTAGGGGGCAAGTGGAAGCAAGTTGCGGCCGCTCTCTTGCGCGAGTCGAAGGTCAGGCGATCGCAAACATGGATTAAGGGTCAGCGACGGGTCCCGTTTCCATGGGGAATCGCGGATTTCCGCTTCCGAGCGAGGCGGCACCGGCCGCATTTTGGGGAGGGCACCTCCCCCGATCCATGGATTTGGCGTCCGCGCGCCAAATCTATGGGTCGCTAATCCATGTCTGCGCGCCCCCGTTCCAAGAGGGTGCCGAGCTACCGAAAAAGTTCCAAGACGCCTCAAGAAGCCTCCAAGAGGCCTCCCAAGAGGCCAAGGATACGGGGCGGCGCTGTTCTCGGCACGGAGGAAATTGGAACGGCCCATCAGCAGTTCTTGCTCATTTTGAGCAGGACTCGCTGCCCGCGCCGCCACGGGCGTTGGCCACTTGAGGCAGAAGGCCGCCTGCCCAACAGCGGCGCGTGGCTATTTGTTGTTGGGCGATGCGCTTGTGTTTTTGCGAGGGAGGGTGCGCCCCGTCGGCGGGCCGGCGGGGCCCAGGGCGCAGAAACGAGCCCCTCGGCGGCGGGGCGCGCCCACGCCCAGCTCCAATCTGGGGCGCGAGACGCCCAGGCGTCTAGCGCCGCCTCGACCCCTCCCCTCGACCGGCGACGAGCCAGGGCGGGAGGAGGAGGAGGAGGAGGAGGAG